GAATTTGTGTTGATGATGATGTTTAGGTAGATAAGGCTTTTGATTAAAATTAGTGTGTATTTTCTAATTTCACTTTTCTATTAATATCTCCCCTTTCAATGAAAGTAGGTCTGCCAATCAACAGTAAAGATTCAGATCATATTTTCCAATCAAAATCATCACACATTTCCATATTAATCACTTCACTGACAAAACATTCACAAACACGAATCATTCAAATTTTGATATCATTAATTCATTTTTTTCTTACCAATCGTATGATGTGCTAACATTTTGAACTTTCATCCACTTATATATCAATTATATTAATTTCTTAACTAACCATCAACAGCTTATTTCGGAAAGTCTTTAGTCATGAGTTTTATAATCAGTCAACATGTCGACGGACAGGCTGTAGCGCATCAAGTTATACTACCGTCTCAATCCTTTACTACATTTCCAACTGTATCACCAAGCAATAAAGCTGAATATCTATTGATATTATTTTAGGGTAGCTTGATGTACGGTGTCTGTGCTATCTTTGTGCTGAGATCTTGAACGTTCATGACCTAAGTCACTTTGTTTATGCTTTGATATTAATTCACATGGTTATCTGATTCATCATCGAATTTCTCATTAATTACTTTAAACATTTTAGCCTCTATATGAATTGTTTTGTATGTCCATTTTTTAAGCCTCATCTCTATCGCTGATTGGAAGGTTCATAAGTCTTTTTAATTTAGATTCCGTTGCAGTGTTGCTATTTCCGTGACGTTCTTATAGTCAAACAATAATCTACATAAATGTTTGTATTTATAGAAGCCTCACTTAGTACTTAAGCCAATAAATAAAACAACAATTCTCTCTCTACTGCCATGTAAATGGAAATATAAACTTCCAGATCATAAAATCATCATTTATTTGAATTAGAGGCAGAGTATAAAACGACACACCCTGTGTCTACAAATATCATGATATATAAATGCAATTTAAATATAACCTCTATAATATCAATGGACATTAAATATAAAAATGTGCCCTTAATTTTGACTGTCAAAAATAATATCAATATAACAGTACTGCACGAGAAAGTCATCAATAGTGATCATCTAGCCTAGAGCAAGTTCAATAATGATTCGAAATCATTCAGTTATTTAAATAGCTGCAATAACTCACGCCTACTTATTGAAATACATTATAATGTATTTTTTTTAAACAGGTGTTAAAAATTCTTTGGTAGAATCTCGTATTTTATGCGCTGGTAACATTATATCACGGCTGTCATCCCTAACGGCTAACGAGACAGAAATATAATTAGTGTGAAATCTCTAATTGATAGTCGCACGAAATATAAACATAAATAAAATGGATTTAAAGGTATTTTAAATGTGTTAAAGTATTTAATTCTGACACTTGATACAGGAAATTAATTTCATTAGAGAAACATATGATTATATTAAATGGAATTTATGTGGTTTGTGAAATTGTTATTCGCTGGGAAGATTATTTTGCAGACTATAAAGTTTTGATATGAATGCCTAACTAGATTATACAGTGGCATAATGTGCACCTCTGCCTACCCCTTCGGGGATAAAAGGCGTGATGTTATGTTATGTAGTAATTTCATTTAGGACCGATTTTTTCAACACCAGATAAATTTTAATTGAAATAACTTCCATAATAAATAACAGCCATCAGAAGTCAATTTTATTGTACAGTTCAGAATTAAGTGATGACTGAAAAATCGGCACTTACCTAATTGTAAGGAAAACAAATGGTTTTTTTTTTAACGCTGCCCCACACTAGGATTTTCTGCTGTTTCGTGGGTGCGTTTACAAACATACAAGTTCACATACACAATGTAAATGGTTAATGAGCAAGAGCGTACAAATTATCAAATCGCAATTGCGTAAAGGGGATATAAAAATGATTACATTAAGTAAAGACATGTTAAGATATAGTGTCGGGAAATACCATTTTATTTTCTTCGCAGAGCTTTAGACGTTTTTCTCCTTTTACACCGAATTAGTCTTACATCCCACGAAGTAGATTAGGTAGTTATTACTAAAAGAAAAGTTTACGGAAAGATATTCAAACTATCTTTATTTTTGTGACATAGAAACTATGTCCTTAGAATACAGGATATTTTTATCATCTAGAATACAAGTCCTAGAAAACATTTTGAAGAAGTTTTCAAGTTATTTAGTTAGTTCTTCGACATAGACGGCAATTATCTATATAGCGTTATTGCCTAGTTTGTAAAGCGAACGCACAGTACAGATAGAAAAATTGTTACATAGATTCAATGTATTTTATTTAAAAGTATTATTTTTCAACATCTTTGTTATGAATGTGTCGTTTGATAAATAAATAACATAACATAACATAACATCACGCCTTTTATCCCCGAAAGGGTAGGCAGAGGTGCACACAGAAGTAACACCCATTTTTCACTATTTATGTTATGAGTCCCATGTAATAGGGGGTGAGCCTATTGCCATATACCGGGCACATTTCCAGACTCTGTGCTACTGAGGATTTTTTAAAAACCCAGTAATACTTTGCCCGACCCGGGAATCGAACCCGGACCCCTTGCCCGGCAGTCGCACTTGCGACCACTCGGCCAACGAGGCAGTCTATATATCAGGTCAAATAAATAAATACCAGTGGGTAAATGCAGAAAGAAGAAATGTATTTATTTAATCCATTCGTTAACTTTACTTGGAACTATTTCGTAGATAGGTACTAGTGGTTTAGTCAAACAAAAAATAATAGGTTTATTTTTAAACTAGTACGTCAATTTGATTCTTCCTGATTTTCTAATAATCTCCGAATATTGATCACAACTACATGATATTAACTAAATCGATACAATACCTCTCACTTTATTTTACTATACTTAAAACCACTCCACTTTTGTCAAAGCACTTGAATGAACATTTATGAATAACTGAACTCTCATATAAACCGCAAAGAAGGAAAAGCATAAACAAACCGATTAAATAGTAATGAGGAATGATAAACCATCAAAAATAAAACAGATGGCAGCACAATAAACAATAGCTGTCAAATTTGACAGATGACACAATGTTAAAAATGTCAAACTTGAAAAAAGAATTAATCAACAGTGGCGCCATTAATTGTCAGAGTTGTCAGTTGAGTCCGTTGTGCCAGTGCTTCTACTTCTGCGAACAGTACTAACTCTATCCGTATGTTTTTACTAACTTGGTCCAGTTGGCGTGCGATATGTTCGCTATGTGTGTCGCCGGACGCGCATGCGACGACACCGCGTCAAATGGAGCGGACACTGAACACAGCCACCCGACCAAATGTGAAAGTTGCCACCTCACGTACACACACACAAAGTATTCGAACTGTTACATTCGGTCGGTTTACACCGTCGACCTCGCCAAGGACGGCGTTTCGATTCTGCTTACTCAATGGTCTACTAGGTCGGGTTTTTATTATAAACGGAGCTTCCAAGCTTCCACGATTTAGATTTGAATTCAGATTATTGTTGCTTTTTATACGAATTGAATTATTAGTTAGAAAAACCATTTCGACCAAGCAAAATTCAAATGAAATCAATTTTGAAACGAATCAATATGGACGCCAAATAGTTTTACAAAAAAAAAAGACGAAGGAATGTAGGCCAAGAATGTAACAATTTACACAAACAATTTTGAGGTTTCAAACATCAAATATGTACCTCAAATTGGTACCGAGAAAAATTGTACAACATTTAGTAAGATTAACTGTTCTCAATATATCAAATTGTGTAGATATACAAATAGATAATGCATCAATTAAACTGTCGTAAACCAATTCAGATACATACAGTAACGAGTGTTACATTCAATTGAAAATCAATCAATTATAATCATCAATTAGAACCAAATACTATAAAAACATGATTTAGATGATATCGTACACGATTTGTTCCAATCTTACTTTTATTACGGCATTTTAAATTCAATAATACTCTCTCACGCTTCAAAAAGGAAAATGAAAGCGTGAGGTTGAGACACGTTAAATTTTTACACGACAAATAGATAAATACAAATGCGTAGGTGTATTATTTTCTGTCATAGATTTCCAACATTACTGGAATCGATTACTATCTAATATAAATTCTTTACTTAAGTTTTTTTTCTTTATTTCAAAGCATCTCATGCATCTACTGAAGAAATCATCGAGATGGCCAGTTACAGTACAGTCTGGGACAGTAGAAGACTATGGGCCTCCTCTACGCGTAAAAAGGTTAAGCATGTTAGAGCGTTATATAATTTAGTTTAAATTAATATCAGGGGAAAATATTTATTATTTCATAGACAGGAGTATAAAAATAAAATCACTTCTTTGTTTATATTTCTCTTTCTGATTGAAACATGCTTTGCTTTTCTTGCTTACTTTCAGTTTTCTTCGCATTATGAGTGTCTACTATATCTCAATTGCCCTTTGTCTTTTAGTACGCATCATTTTGTATATAGACACGTCGGTAACCGTTTCTATATTCTGCGGTTTCGTATGATAGCCAACAAAAGCAGATTTCTAAACGATGTCTAGACAGGAAAACTTGAAAGAATAAAGTCATAGTGAAATCAACAGTAATTTCTCTATCATTAATGGAGATTTTAGATGATTAAGCATATTCAATCACAAATTGTTACTGAGTTATAGGAGAGAGTAGTATAATAGATCCAAGATAAACAATTCAAATGAAATCTCAACTTATATTTGCAACAATTTCCAACAAAAATACATAGAAAATTTTCATGTCAAAGTCCATGACCGACCGAGACATCTACATGTTATAAAATACATCTGTCTGACTTTGGTACTCCTAAGCTCGTCCCGGTCGATTGCAATTTATGTTAGAAAGGAGCAAAGACTTGATCAGTTACTGAGGTCAGAAGAAATTGTATAAATTTCTAGAACCCTTATGTTTTTTTAGGTGAGGTTCGGATTTTACGTTTTAAGAACGTTGGTTCGCTAAAAAGTAAAGTTTCAAAGTAACTTACATTCGTTAAGGCTAAAATTAGCCATAGAACTGTTGATTTCCTTATATGTGACGCGATATCTGATGCCATTTTGGACCTGCAAAGAAAAGAAAGTTGTTTTGTAAACAAACTTATATATTTAATACTAGAAAAATAAACAAAGAAGATAACACGTTTTCTAACGCAAGGGTCAAAAGTTGAAACAAATTCTACGCCAAAAATAACAACGATAAAGAAGATCAATATAAAACAACAAGACTAGCAAATAAACATCAAACCGAGTCATTAACACTACTCTATAAAGAAGATTTAAAAACACGACAAATTAAACTAGGAATACAAATAACAACAAAACCAACAAAAAGAAATTGCTAATCTAATCCAATGGTACAAACGATCCACTAAACAAGTCACAGTTAGCCCACGACAGCCATATTTAAATCCAATTTATTCCGCCATTTAATCTTTCTAACATCGCACCTATAATTGTACAAGCAATCGGGATTAGAACTCACGATCTTATCCGGAAACCTTTCTCTGAACTTTTGGTCTTTTGCCATTACTCTCCTTGTCACTTCAGAAACGATTGCTATGTTATCCCAGGTGAATTTGCTTTTTGCTTGCATAGTATTAGAAACCTCATTATCTATGTTACTTGGAAGGTTTTTTTCATTTTGTAAAAGATTGTTAAATTTATTTTAAAGGTACTATTCTAATAACTGATGATTCTGCTAATTTATGGATTTCAGTAAAGCTTTTGACATCACAAGCACCTTACACACGGTATTAAATGCATGAACATTTTTTTACCAGGCCTAAACTAACTATATTTGTAGAATACATTATTAATTATTATAAACAGTTCATAAAATCGAAGAAAAAGCCCTTAAATTATCGCTAAGCTCAACAAAATCATATCAAGACTACCGTGACCCAAAAAATGTCGTAGTGGCTCGGAGTCCTAAGTCGCTCGCTTTTAATGCATGAGGGTGCGGGTTCGAAACCTACTAACAGCATGCACCGATGTGACGTTTTCCCGAATAATATATTATACTTTCTAAAATCATTTAGACATCACTGATAGTGGTGAACGAAAACATCGTACAGAAACCTGGACTTATAACTTCTAATTATAAGTTTGAAATCGCCAACCGGCATTGAGCAAGCGTGGTGATTAATGCTCAAACCATCTCCATGTGAGAAGAAGCCTTTGGTCAGCAGTGGCCACTTGTAGGCTGTTGAAGTAACCCAAAATAGTGTAAGTTTAAAACTGTTCAAAGAAAAACAATATAAATAAGAATGTTCCCGTATGAAGATTAAAACGAAAATCACAAACATTAAAGTGCTAATGCATTTCTAGCCGGATGAATAGTTCACAGGAGTAAGAAGAGAATTTGTATAATTTACATAAGTGAAAATATATGAATAAGTTTACTATCTAAACTAGTTTTTAGTCGAAGCCGTTAGGGTTGACGGTACAATTTGCTTTCTCGAAGAAACTATCGCAATCAATACTGTTGGTTGATAATCTGATACATTTGTCGGTTTAGATCTTAAAGAGAATATTGTTATTAGGTTCGATAGTGACAGCTTTAGACTTAGTGCTGAACTGATCTTTAAAGTAAACGATAAGATTGTTCTATTGGTTTGCGATTTCAATGGAGATTTAGTGTGAAGGAGAATACTAATAGTTAAATATTCATTTATGAATTATTTCGTATTTAATAATTTCCTAGAACTATCGTGAACTGTTAAGGATAAAAAAGTATCTTTTTTGTACCGCGACCTTAAAAACGTCAATACCACGGGATAATAATGCAGGCTAGGGAGGAGTCATATCGTTTTTTCAGAATGTCTTATCAAAACTGTACTACAGGTTCGGTTATTACCAACAGAGAAGGTAAAACTAAGAAATGGTGTTATTGGTGGCAAGATGGAATTTAATTCGGTGTCCTATTAATATTGTGGATATAGTAATTAGAATTCTATGAAAAAAAAATGTTTTTATTTAATCTATTTACAATCTTTTAGATAGATAAGTTTGACCTACGATGCAGCTGACGTAGCCTATAGGTTTAATTAAAGCCCTTAAATAAAATAATATAGAATTAAAAAAATATAATATATATTTGCAGTCTTAATTCAACACTGCCCAATGTTAAGAACAAGATATGTACTTTTACTACATTTTTAATAACACTATTATTTTTGACGAACGCCACATGTGTAACGCAATAAAAATTCCATCTAAATGAAATAATGAATCAATCTATGAGCGCAGGAAGGCGTAAATAAATCTACAGCACCACAGAGGCAAACATTCAAAAACTTAAACCAAAAGACAAAGTGCACACTTTATATTCAATTAGAGGCCATCTGTCGTCCATTAATCGTAAATTCCATTACATCAAGATAAATTGAGAAATTAAAACTATTAATTATTTCTTCGCCCTGCGGAACCATGGCTGTCAATTATATAGATTTATTACAAACAGATTACATTACAATAGTTATGTATATGTCCCTATTTTTAATGGCACGTAATAATATTTATTGTTTTATTACAAATTTTCGTGTGAGGCGTGTATTATACCTATGTTGTTGCCGTTGACTGCCTCGTTGACCGAGTGGTCGCAAGTGCGACTACCGGGCAAGGCATCTCGGGTTCAATTCCCAGGTCGGACAAAGTATTATTGGGCTTTTGTAAAATTCTCAGTAGTAACACGGTGTCTGGAAATGTGCCCGGTATATGGCAATAGGCTCACCCCCTATTACATGGGACTCATAACATAAATAGTGAAAACTGGGTGTTATATTGTACAGTGGTATAAAGTGCACCTCTGCCTACCGGTTCTTACCGGTACTTCGGGGATAAAAGGCGTGATGTTATGTTATGTTATTGTCGTATAGGTTAGATTATCATAGATTTGTAAAGAAAATACGAACCAACCACATGATAGATAAAATTTATTTCTTCTATCAGAGTCCGTACATCAATAACGATTGTATTGTACTACATAACTAGTAATAAATATTTCCAAACATGGAAGAGTAATTGAAGTACTGTTTTGTTGCATCAATGTCAAAATGTAAACAATTGAAGTCCACAAAGGCATTCCACACCTATTATTGAAGGAACACACATAGCGTATATCCAAAATTGGATAACAAGCAATTAATAATAAAAAAGAAACTTAAGCAGTCAACGAGTACTAGCTATTGATTCTAAAGACATCATCAAGCTATTTTGTACTCTCAAAGACTTCCTAACAAAATAATTGGTGGTAAAAGTGTGGGAGAGCCATGCTTCGGCACGAATGGGCCGGCTCGACCGGAGTGATACCACGGCCTCACAGAAAACCGACGTGAAGCAACGCTTGCATTGTGTTTCGTCGCGTGAGTGAGGTTACCGGAGGCCCAATTTCCCTCCCCTTCCCCAATCTCCCCAATCCCTGAATCCCCAACAATCCTCAAACTCCTAATCCACAAATAGCCGGTAACGCACTTGTAACGCCTCTGGTATTCCAGGTGTCCATGGGCGACGCCGATTGCTTTCCATCAGGTGATCCGTCTGCTCGTTTACCGGCTTATGCCATAAAAAAAAAAAAAATAATTCTTAAAATTCTCATCTCAAATAAACAGTCTCCATTCTCCATACAAGTTCCAATCATATACTGTTTATGGGCAAACAAACTTAAGGCTAAATCTGAAGACTGACAGCACAAAGTGGAAGTTAGCATAATGGACGGGTATCTATACAATAATGTCTCTATTGGCAGAGCTCGTTATGGCAGAATTCCTTCAGCCAACCATGAAGTTACCATAACCTAAACGTCTATCACAATGTAGTGTAACGGTGACATAGAAATTAGTTATTCGCACTTAATTATATTGCTAGGCTTTTGTTCGTAACAATTATTGGACATAATTAATTGTTCATGTATTAAATTATGCCTCTTTAAACGCATGGAGTATTATGAACACGACCCGTAAACTCGAAATTATATTTTATTAGTACTTTTTATTATCAATTATAGATGAAGAAAGCAAATCTACTTTAGTATTTCCACATTTATTGACAGTATATTTTATGCAATTGTTACAAATTGTGCTTACTATATAATGTTCTTCAAAATGGTGATGATTTTATTACGTTTAACTAGTGGTAGAACACGCCAAATACCAAATTTAAAACGAAACATTACTACCACATAATCTAAACTCACCACATTAATTAAAATTTTACAATAATTTACAACCATTTCACTTCAAACACAGTTAGAAAACTTTCAAATTCATGACCGTGCAAAGCCTCAACTAGTTCCAGTCTCGCCACCCATATATTTAAATTAAATATATAAAATATGCATATGTCAACGTTAATGACTACTGTTTGCATATAGCTGGCACAGAGAGCATTCATGACAAGTAATTACAAACTGGTGTAATAGACAACCACACAAACAGTGCGTGTGTCGGTGTGCCAGTATGTCCGTGTGTCCCACTCGTTTCCGCGACATTATGATAAGTAAAGCCCGTTACTGTAAGTGATGGTTATATCGAATATCTGTGTTCCTGGCAAATAGGCGTGCTTGGCAAATAGTTGGTGTGCACAGCAAATAGGTTTGGCCAACATGTCAAGTTAACGGTCTTAGTAAGTTTTGTCTACGATGGGCAAATGTTTGTTTAGTAATTTGGCTGTCTGCGTTGGCGTATCCTGTTCGTGTTTTAATGAATTTGTTAGTTAAGTTGTAATAAGGTTTTTAGTGAGTATACTGGTGATAGGAAACGGCATTAATGTTTATTGGCTTTCTTAATAATTCACCTCTTTTTCCAAATATGTAAGTTTAAGTTGCCAATGGGCAATGACTCTTAACTTTTATGAAAATATTATGATGTTGACCACTATTAGTAAACCCTTTTCTGGATCTTTGGCGGCTTTGTAGTTTGTACCTATAATCAGATTGATACCAAAACCAACAGCTTCATATTTAAAATGCAATTTAAAGACTCAAAAGCAGCATCATGCCACGTAATAAACGAACTTATAAAACCAAAACAGTAATCTGACCGACAACATAGCGGATATTTTCTAGC